TTCGGGGGGTTGGGGTCCCTACAGTGAATATGTTCAAACATTTTTTTATAATTAAGGCTGGGGGTAGGGGGGAGAAGGGGTGGTATTACTTTGGTTCTCGGTCGTCCAGCAAAGAGAATAGGAATTTATTCTCTGCTGGACCGTCATCCATCAAAGGATGGAAAGAAAAGTTCTTCTTTTTGGATGACACCGAGTGGAGTAGGAGGGATGCCAAGGTGGAACAGTTGTCTACTTGGAAGGCTAAGAAAACCAAGTAGAACAACTATAAGTTAAATTAAGATGAGGTGGAGGAGGTAGGAAAGCTGGTGAGGGAAGAAGGAGACGTAGTGGATATCCTGTACCTCACCAGCCCGAATGCAATAGAAGCTGCTGAGCTCTATGGGCCGAGCTCATTGAGCGAAGGTTTGTGTATGTTGTTACCTTTTGCAGCTTAATTGATTTCCCAGTTATTGTGTTTTAACACTTGTTTTTGCTCTGCAGTTGAGATGGACGATTTTGTCAATGCTGCTGGAGGACTGTGCATCCCCAAGAAGCCAAGGAAGAAGTCAACGACTTTAGCTGCGGTGAACAGAGGGGAGCTAGAGAAAGAGTGCCTGCCCAGTACTTCTGCTCGAGTGCTGGAGATACAGCAGAGGCTAGAGCCTGCAGGGGGGAATAGTGAGGAAGTGAGTGAGGAGGTGGCCCCACTCCAGAGAAAGAAGAGGAAAGTGGCTGAGCCGGAGGTGAGGGGGGATGAGGTGATTGAGTTCGTATCTCGCCCTCCCCCTTCTGAGATGGGTCCTAAAATCAGGGAGAGGGAGGGGGTCGAGGTGCGAAGGCCTAACGAGGGCACGAAGCTCATCCCTCCTCACTTGTACGAGAAGAGTTTGTTTGAGGCGAGAAACACAACTGGGGCAAAGCACTTCCTGAACGCCACTCTGCCTGAGGTGATAAGACGCAGGCGAGGGACGAGGTGGTGAGCCAGCTATGGGCTACTGTTGTAAGGCATGCCTTGGAGGTACGTAAGAGGGTTGTGACCTATTTATGTTATATGTTTTACTATTATTATTATTTTTTGTTACTTTTGCGTTTTTGAGGCCTGACTTCTGCTGGCATTGCAGAGTGCAAGCTGGACGAACGCTCTAGCGCAGGAGTATGCAGAGAGCGTGAAAGATCGCGCTAGCTTGCTGAGGCAATGCGAGGCCCTGCGAAAGGAGAAGGAGGAGTTGCAGAAGGAAAAAGGGGAGCTGCAGAAGAAAAACCAGCAGATTCAGAGGAGGCTGGATGAGGTGACGCCAATAGTGACCGAGCTTCAGAGTGACAACAGTGTCTTGAGCACGAAACTCTCTCTTGAGGAACGTAAGAGAAAAATTTGCGAAGAGAAGCTCAAAGCTCAAGACAAATATATTGAGAGCCTGAAGAAAGGGGCGGTGGAGCTGAAGAAGAACGTGGAGCTGTTGGTGCACAACGAGATGGAGGGACACATTGGCAACTTCCTCAACTCTAGTACCTTCGAGGGCATCCTCAAGCTGTACCGACTTCCAACCGCCATCTTGGCCTTCACCGACTGTAGAAAGAAGGTGAAGGCCCAGTACCCAGAAGTGGACGTGACAACGGTCACCTTTGGGGAACAAGAAGATGGAGTGGAAGAGGATGGTGAGAGTCTCTGTGTTGACTTCCGACCTCTGATCAAGTTGAGGTGGGAGCATGACGCAGAGGGACGCACTATCTTTCCTCCAGACTTTGATGCTGAGCTGGTGGCAGTGG